ACATTGCTATACTATCATAGCTATGACCCGCCTTGGGCGCCAAAATCTTGTAGCACACGCCTTGTAGGAAAAGTCTTTTCTGTCTCGCCTTCTGTCTTAACCTACTGGCCCATGAATCCACAACTAACCCGCGATTGGGACCTTTTACTACCCTAGCTTCAGCGAGTGGAGTTGGGTGGGTTGTTGCGGCTGTTGTAGATCGCGGTTACGTCGAAATATTTAAAGATCCCTACAGAAACTAACTAATTGAAAGTCCACACTAAAACCTCAAATTATTAATGGAACTGAACAATGAATGGCGGATAAACTAAATAGGTAAGCAGCACAAAGTTGAATAGATAAAAGCGGATGGGACTGAGATGTTGTCCCCTACCCTACCCTTCTATACCCTCCCAACCATGGTTCTTTCTGTTAATGTACTAAATGAAAACCCCAAAATGTTTAGTTAATTATTATTTTATTTTTGAACCCCTTGTACTCGAAAAAATTAGAAGGGACTTATCTTTTCATCATGGTACATATATAATTTAGTTTTACAAAAAAATTTTGTAGGGGTATAATTGACATACATTAATCAAGACTTCCTTTAATGAACTTCTTGATTTCCATTCAACTTATATCATCAACTTATATATCATTTTTCGCGACAGCTGGAGAGAGCGGAAAAGTGCAAGAAAGTTGATAAATTAAATGCAAACAAAACAAAAAAACTAAACTAGTTAATTTCAAACTGTTACTTTTCGTATGTCTCAACGCGTGATAGCGAAGTGCAATAAACGACCCTACTGTCGGTCCATAGCCAAAGAGCATGATCTTGCTCACCATGCTTACTTACGGCTACGCCCACTCCGATGGCGTGGAGTCAACAATGCAAAACCCCTCCACCATCAGTTTCGGCCCGTGGCGCACCAACGACATGCAACGGTAAAACTTCTGCATCCGCACTAAATTTGTCAGCAACAACTACAGCTACGGCAAATAAAACAACAACAACCACAGCTACGGCTACTACTTCGGAATAGACTGCAACTGCAGCTCTAAATTCAACGGAAACAAAACCACGACAACAAATCAAAACCAAAAAAAATTCAGCAAGCGGGTCCAGCCATACAGACTGGACTAGATCGGTACATCCATATCAAGCGTAAGCTTAGCCCGCAGAGCACCGCGGTAGATAACAAGTCAAAAATAAACCGTGTCCAAATAGAAAATAAATTACCCGAAAGATCCAACAGCAATAGATTTGCGCTTCTAGCTGAAAATGAACCTAAACAGGCTCAGGAGACCCAACCTAAGCCCCCACCAATTTACATTAGGGTTAAAAAACCTCGAACGCCGTGGTCAACAAAATTGTTGCGCTGACCGTGGACGAAAACTTTCATGTTGTTCTGGTCACAAAAGGGGATATCCATGAAACCAAGCTTCAGACCAAATCTGAAGAACATTTCCGAGCTGTATCCAAATACCTGGAGGAAGCTAGTAAAAGCTTCTACACGTACCAACTAAAAAGCAGCAAGGGCCTGCAAGTGGTACTTAAAGGAATCGAGCCGGACGTAACCGCCAAGGAAGTTATCGATGCTCTCAAGGAAAAAGGGTTTTCTGCAAAGAACGTCAGTAACATTATAAACAGGAAAAAAGAGCCGCAACCACTTTTCAGGGTCGAGCTGGAGCCAAAAGGCAGGGTCTTGAAGAAAAATGAAGTGCACCGCATTTATAGCCTGCAATACTTGTTGCACCGAAGAATCATCGTGGAAGAGCCACGTAAAAGGAACGGCCCAGTGCAATGCACAAGTTGTCAGGAGTATGTACACACCAGGGCATACTGTTCATTTCGAACAGTTTGGGTAACTTGTGAAGACTTCCACAATTCGGCTAACTGCCCTGCCAACAAAGAAGACCCCGAAAAGAAAAAATGCGTTAACTGCCAAGGTAACCACACGTCAAACTACAAGGGCTGTCCGATCTACAAGGAGATGAAGGACCGCATGCGAAAAGTGACAGCAACGCGTCATCAGAATACCCAAAATGCATACACTTACTCGCGTACGACGCCAGAAGTATTTTTCTGCACGGCTGCAAGATCCTCATTTGGTCAACTAAACACCCAGAAGGGCTTCTCATACGCCGATGCCCTTCGATCAGGGACGGAAAACCCACTCCGGTCTAATCTAAGAAACGCTCAGCAGATCCAAGTACAGTCACAAAGCACTCTGGAATCTATGATGGTCACCAAACAACAAAGTGCAGCAAACACTGGTTCAAAACCAGAACATGGTGATACAGCTACTTGCAGGTAAGCAGTCTAAATAACAGATGGCAAATCTACGAATAAGAATGTGGAACGCTAATGGCGTTTCACGTCACAACCTTGAAGTAACACAGTTCCTGAATGATAATCATATCGACATTATCCTACTGGTAGAGACGCACCTCACAAACAAATACAACTTCCAAGTAAGAGGCTACACTTTCTACCGCACAGACCATCCAGATGGTAGGGCCCACGGCAGAACCGGCATCCTAATCAGGGAACGCATCAAGCACCACTTTCATCAAAGATTTGCAACTAATTACTCACAAGCTGCGTCTATCAAAGTGCAGTCAGGCAACGGAAACCTCACCATAGCCGCTGTCTACTGTCCGCCTCGCTTTACAATTTCTCAAGGACAATTCATGGACTTCTACAACTTGCTTGGAGATCGCTTTATAGCTGCAGGGGACTATAATGCTAAACACACGCACTGGTGATCTCGCCATGTTACTCCCAAAGGAAGGCAATTATACAATGCAATCATATAACCCACATACTGGCCAACAGACCCCAGGAAAGTTCCAGACCTAATAGACTTTGCGGTGACAAAAAAAACATTCCCCGCAATATAACAAGCGCTAAAGCGCCTTCGGACCTGTCGTCAGACCATTCGCCAGTGCTAATAACCCTTCTTCAAAGCACAAAATCTACAGATCACCCCCTCAGGCTGACGTCGCACAGAACCAACTGGCTAAAATATAAAAAGTATGTAAGTTTGTAAATTAACCCCTCACTTCAACATCGAAGCGGACATCGACTGCTCTACCGATGCTCTTGAAGAAGTATTCGTGGAGGCAGCCACTATCTCAACACCACAAGGCAGGGACGTGAAAACCAACCACTTCAAAACTAATCTGCAAATTGAACGGCTAGTCCTAGAAAAGAGGCGACTGCGACGTGCCTGGCAAACCAACAGATCGCCGTCATCAATAAAACGTCTTAAGGAAGCCACTCGCACATTAAATCGAGCTCTAAAGCAAGAAACAGAAAACGCACAGCTGCGGTACATTGAAAAACTTTCGCCAACAAGTACAAAACATCCTCAGTGGAGGCTCACCCAAATCTGAGCTCTCCAATCGAAACAGTCACACCATTAAAAAATTCATCTGGCAGCTGGGTCCGCAGCGACGAAGATAGAGCTGAAACTTTTGCTTTACATCTAAGAAACGTCTTCCAGACGAACCCTGCCATTGGTTCATTTGTCCTACCACAAATCGAGTCAGAATCTATTTCCCTACCACCATTGTTTCAGCCAACATCGCGAAAGTCTTTGGGGAACTGAAACCGAAAAAGGCCCCTGGCGGTGACCAAATAACCCCAAAAATTTTAATTGAACTTCCAAACTCTGCCGTTGAGGTTATTTGTAAGCTCTTCAATGGGATCACAACTCTCGGCTACTATCCGAAAAAATGGAAATGGAAAAGACCACACAATTTCGTCATCCTACAGACCAATTAGTTTATTATCGTGTGTGTCAAAGTTCTTCGAAAAATGCCTTCTAACTCGCAGAATACCATATCTAGGAGCACACAATGTTATCCCTGCTCATCAATTTGGCTCTCGTCAAAACCATGCAATAATCTAACAAGTAAACAGAATAACATCAGAAACACGAACAGCATTTGAGCATCGGGAATGGCTAGATCGATCGAGTATGGCTAGATGGCCTCAAGCACAAAATCAAAACACACTTGCCAGATTACACTCACAAGCTTCTTGAGTCGTATCTATACAACAGAACCTTTGCAGTAAGTTACAACACAACAACATCCGACGACTACATTATCAAAGCTGGAGTCCAGCAAGGAAGCGCGCTAGGACCTACTCTTTTCGTCCTATACACAGCAGATATTCCCAGGAACGAGCAGCTAACAACATCTACGTTCGCTGACGACACCGCAATTTTAAGTCGCTTGAGGTGCCCAGGCCGAGCCACAACACAGCTAGCAAACCACCTCTCCGTAGTAGAGAGGTGGCTATCTGATTAGCGGACTAAAATAAATGAACAAATATGTAAACAAAAAACAGCATCTTACAATTAAAAACTCTATGTGCACCCCAATCGGCTCACAAGAGTCTTGAGTTGGGTTTCCAGCCGATCACGTCTACAACGCAACGACCTGCCAAGCCAGCAATTACTTTCGGGCCCCCTTTAGCACAATATCAGTCATATTACTGTTATTTAGAGAAATTAGTTAAGATTTGATACACTTATTGTTAGTATCCAATGGGAGAAGATTCAATAAATAAATAGCAAAGCATTAAAAAAAAAATTATATTATCTAACATGCCTGGTCGTTTACATTTTTATTCTAGGTATAGGTTTTTTAGTTTTAAGTGATTTGTTTCTTTGTATGGGTCAAATCTATTTATTCATTTCTTTCGTTTTCATCACCAGGCTTGTCTATTTAGATTTTGTTTTTTTTTCTGATTTACTTATGCAAGGCAAGGGCAGCCAAATTATACCCAAGCGCATAACACAATCAAAATAAAACTGCCTGGAAAGCTTATCTCGGTTGGACTTATGTGTATAAAAGCCAGATCAGCACCGAAGTTTTTGTATTTTGGGAGGGCAGCCGGTTATTCGTTTTGGAGGGTTTTAGCTCACCCGTTCGCTTTTGGAGTAAAATTCGTTCAATCGGCGGCTTGCTCGAAACAATCAAAACTAGAGTAGCATGCGATCACTTACCTTCTGAAAATTCAGATGAAGCGCTCCATGGTTCCAGGGGTAAACTAGTTGAGCTTCCTTGGAGAGACAAGTTTTAATTAATTCTTCGCAACCGCCGTCGATACCCAAGATTTATACTTACAGGTGAAAGAAGAGAGTTATACAACGCTTGTACCGACTTGGGTGCGTAAGTATTTCAAATTCAGTAACACCTCAATTGCACTCTGATTTTCGTAATTTCAGGTATATTTTAATATTTTGTTTTGGGGTTATTTCCAAGTGATAGTGGCTAACTCTCTCTCTCTCTAATCTCGGAGCAGCTGCACTGAATCCTATTCCAGGTTGACGACTGGTTTTCCCGCCGACTAGCCTAGATTGTGAACAGCTTGGTTCCTAACCCACGGACAACCTGCTGCTGGCTAGATGTTTATGGCCTGTTCTTCTGATTGAGAAGTAGATATTAATTTCACGTTGCTATCTCCTTTTACTTTTACTTACGTTCAGTTTGTCTTTCTTTAGATTTAGACGTTTGCCTAGTTGGATATTTCATTGTGTTTTACCATACACGAGCCTTAACAATCACTGATGATAAAGATTTATGTGACTTTCGAACTGCACGTGGTATGGCCAGAAATTAAAGTTGGACTAAGTTTTTGAAGCCAACCTTTCACTTAGAGTTCTCGAAACAGAATGACTGAATAGATCGGAATTCAAAAGTTGGGAGTTTAAGCATCCGAAAAAAAACGAACTTTTGACGCTTTGGATCACTTACCGTCTTTATTAAGGCAATTTTGCTTGTGATTACATGGGGTTACATACTCCGGTAAATAACTCGGATAAGTACGAGTGCTGGCTTTATTATCAGTTACTTTTCGAAAATTTTCTTTAAAGATCTTAAGGTTGGTACATTAACACCCACCAGGTAATCTGACGAACCTGGCGAGGAATGATTAGCTGTAATTAGCTACGTACGTCTTTAGCATATGTTCCGATTTCTTTGCCTTGTGGAGATTCCAGTATATAGTAGGCATTTCCTCGCTTTTGTTTGACTCTACACTTGGAGAACTGGGGAAGCCAACTTTTTATTGAAATTGTTTCTGAAATGACTTAAATGAACATTTTTTTATACGCCTTGCGACTGTCTTTTTTTAATTTCTTGTCTTATTACCTGCAGGTGATCCTCGCGCTCTAACCTAGGTGACTCTTCCAATATCGACATTTCCTTTAATAGTTTATAGTCATCCCCGTGATTGATCATATTCATCCCGAATAAGGCTTGTAAGGGGAGCACCCTATTGACTGATGTAAGGCTGATCTTGAAGCAAACAGAAACTGGGGTAAATGATATACGATCGTATAGCCGACATTAATGAACGATTTACACGCTCTGCCCATTAGTTTGCGGGGAATAAAAAGCAGTATATACGTGTCGAATTCCTGATTTATTTAACAAGGCTTCAAATTCATATGCTTTGAATTGCACGCCGTTGTCGCTCCCAATTACCTTGGGAACTTAAAATTCTGGAAAGATTCGCTGGCTTAAAAAATCATTGATAAGACTCGTTGTGAATTTTCTTAAAGGGCACAACCAATGATACCAGGAGAAGTGATCTTAATACTATTAATAAACCTATGTAACCCTTCTAACTCCTTGGATAAGGACCTAAAACATATACGTAAAGTATTTGAAAAGGTCTAACTGAGATGTTCTGCTGGCCCATCGGAGAACGCACAGCCATATTGGGAGCTTTCGTTTGCTTGCAGATTTCACAATTACGTATGTAATCTCGCACCTCTTTAGATAATCCTGGCCAATAAAACTTCCGTCCACATGAGTATTTACAATGCTATCATGTGCTTGACGAATTGCAGAAGCACGTAGCGGTTCTGCTTCCCATAATTTCCATTCAGCGGAATCTAGTTCCTTGTTTCCAGAAACGTGTTCCATGCAAATATAA